TTCAGGCATTATGCAAGTACCACCCATGACAAATTGTCAGACACACACAGTCCCCCTCTATCTCTGAGGCCATTATAAAAGATCCATGTTATTCTATGCTATCATGAAGGGTTTGGTAGCACCTTTTCCAATTAGCAGATTTTCTTAAAAGGCATATATTTTCATGAGCTGCAGTTCACTTTGTCAGATGCATGGAGTGGCTACATATCAATTTAACTAGGATTTAATTAGGGATGCATCTGAAGAAAAGGAAAGGGAACACAGACTGGCTATTCATATGCAGGTTAAAAGTGAGACAGATTACAGGTACCTTATCAATTAACAGTTGTAACTGTTAAAAGCCCATTGTGTGTTGAGAGCTTTTAACAAGTCTCACAAGCTAAAATCAATTTTGTTTTCCGTTTTACTAGACTCCAGTACACAGATAATAGATTTAAATTGCAGGAAGACAGATTCTATTGTTAGAAATGTTAGAAAACCTTACAGAATGAAGTTGGAAGCGATCTTGGAGGTCTTCTATTCAAATCCCCCTCACTCACTCATGCAGGAGGCTCTATACCGTTTCAAGCAAGTGGTTTCCAATCTATTCTTAAAAACTTCCAGTGATGGAGCAGCCACCACCTCCTAAGAGAAAAAGAACACAGTTTGACAATGGAACCAATTATTCAGAGAGATTTTTCACCTTCACTGGATCTGTTTAAGCAGAGATTGTACAGCTACAGTGTCTATTGGTAATATTTTAATTTCTGCATTTAAGAAAGGGTTTGTACTTGATGGCTGAAATGGGACCTTCTAATCCTGCAATTCTAATCAAGGGTTGAATTTTCTTTGCTCTTGCATTAGGACTGGGCTGGAATTACAAGATTGGTGACTTATAAGAACAGCTGTTTCTTACACCTTCTTGGCTATAGTGATTTCAAGTTGATGATTAACTTCCAACTAATCCTGACTAGTGGTAAGGAATGCTGGGAGGTGTAGTTCAGCGATATTGGAAGTTACAAGACTCTTTACATCAGGGGTGTCAAACTCAAGGCCTGGGGGCTGGATCTGGCCTGCGGGGTGCTTAGATATGGCCACTCTGGAAACAATGAAGGACCGCCCGCAGCAGTAGTGGGTTTCAATTTTGGTTGCTACTGGTTTGCTCGCGGGTGCACGTGCTCACGCATGCGCGCAATGCTTCTGAGATGACCGGGTGGGTGGGCAGAACCTCCCGCCACTGCCACTACAGGTTTGCCCGATCCAGTAGCAACCTAACACTGGCCCGCAGTGCCTCTGACAGCGAAAACGGAGCTCCCAAGCTCCGTTTTCACTGGCAGAAGTTTGCAGGAGGCTGTTGCAGCTGAAAATAGAGCTTGGGAGCCCGTTTTCACTGGCAGATCTCTTGGGCCACAACAGACACCCCCAACATGATGACATTGAGCTGGCCATGCCCACCCTGCCCACCCAACCCCGCCCCCTGAGGTCAAATACAACCCCAATGTGGCCTCAATAAAACTGAGTTTGACATCCCTGCTTTACATGGTTAAATTATTTGTGTCTTCCCAACACTAGGATGTTCATTCATTGGCATCTGAAAGAACATTTCCTTTTAATGGTGTCACATCTGTGTCTGATGAAGTCGTCCCATTGTTTAAAACAGCTTTCCCAATCTGCCACTCTCCAAATATTTTGGAACTTCAATTTCCAAAATTTCTAATCAGCCACTCTAACAGGGTTTTTGGATATTGTTGACTAAGGACACCCAGAAAGCATCACATTGGAAAGGACTTCATGTGCCCAATCCTTGATTCAACCTAACATGGAGATGATGATGATGATGATGATGATGATAATGATGATGATGATAAATAATCTCCCTTTTTTCCTACCAGACTCATGTGTTTCTTGTAATAGTGTGTACATATGTTCCAAATGGCAAGTTCAGTGTAGAACTAGTGTTAAATTTGCCAGCAAAGATTTTGAAGAAAAGAGGATTAACAACTGTTATCCATAATAGGTAACAAATCCTAACCTTTGAAAATCCTTAACAATAATAATTATGCTTACACATCCAGTCTTACTCTGAAGGTTGCAACTTTGAAATCTTTCTTTCTAGGCTCCAAAAATTAAAGGGTATTTTTTTAAAAAATGAAATTCTAATTTCTCCTTTGTATATTAGCCAACAAGGAACTGTGCTTTTAGAACAGATTGTTAAATTGCCAATAACTATGGCTGCAATTTGCTACACAAACAAACACATTTTCTTTCAGTCACCATACTATATTACATAAAGAAAACAATGCCCTTTACTTTGACAGAAGGGTTGTCAGATCTACAGTCAGTGAAACCAATCTGAATAATTACAAGAATTGCAAACAGCATTGCAAATCCTTATAGGATGGTTTCCCTGTTGGTCTTTGGTCCTTTTTCTTCTTGCATCTCATCATGGTTACAAACATGTTCAAGCAGCATTTTTTTTTTTTCTGATGGATCCTCGTGAAATTGTCTTAATCATAACTTCAACACAGGAGTAGATAGCTTCTGCCAACTTAGCTGTGGTGTTGTTAAAGTAGCAATAAAGAGTAGGTGTGGTTTCGTTGTTAGGGTGCTGGCCTAGAAACCAGGAGATAGCGAGTTCTAGTCCTATTTTAGACATGAAAGCTGGCTGGGTGACATTGGACCAATCACTCTCTGTCATTCACAGGATTGTTGTTATGGAGAAAACAGAAGGAGGAAGGAGTATTATATATGTTCCGTGTCTTGCTTATAAAATAGTAAAGGTGGAATAAAAAAATCAATAAAATTTTGCCTCTTAATCCAATAGCATTCAACAGCACTATAACAAATCTGATGTGCTATTGGGAGACGTAAACTTATATGAACCAAAGTAGGGAGAATCAAGTGGTTACTTATTTGATGCTTTAAACTGATATTGACGTATACCCAGAGGTGGGTTTCAGCAGGTTCTGACCAGTTCTGGAGAACCAGTAGTGGAATTTTGAGTAGTTCAGAGAACCGGTAGTAAAAATTCTGACTGGCCCTGCCCCCATATATTCTCTGCCTCCCAAGTCTCAGCTGATCGGGAGAAAATGGGGATTTTGCAGTAACCTTCCCCTGGATTGGGGAGGGAATGGGGATTTTGCAGTATCCTTCCCCTGCCATGCCCATCAAGCCACGCCACGCCATTCCATGCCCACCAAGCCACACCTACAGAATCATAGTAAAAAAAATTGAAACCCACCCCTGTGTATATCTATATCCATGTCTGGTCCGCCTTCTTGTGCCTCACTTTCAATGGTCTCTGAGGACATAGTGAATTGCCCTCCTATCTCAGCCAGTCTTCCAATGGATTAAGAGAGATTAGTGCTGCAGGCAGTTAATTGCAGAAGGTGGAGCACAGGTGGTAGTTTCATTCAGTAGCCCTCAACTAAAAGGTTTGGTAAGGATAGCCAAATTAGAAGGATGGAAATGTAAGGAGAGTAGCAGTGCTTCTAACCAGAAGCATTATCACCTTGGCCTTCACCTGAGAGGTGAAACTCCTTACCCCATCTATTTTGAGCTAAAGGGATGAGTGTGAACAATTTCTATCACTGAGTGGAGGGGGAAAGGGCACAATGCTGAAATTGCACAACAATGAAATTATGTTCAAAAAGACTACTTGTTAGGAGAGTCAACTCACGTTAACTTTGCACACTCATGGGGATGTGTGAAACAGCTGCTTTGTTTCCCTGTGTTTAGTTGTCTTCTATCTGGAGACAGGTGCAAAAACCCTAAAGTCATAAGAGATCATCCCATTCCCACATCACTGCAGTAACATTTCCTGATGACTGGTAATGTCCAGAGAGAGAGGACTATGAAGCCCCAGGGTTAAAGCAGTCAGTTTTCTTTAGTCATCTTGCTGTGCATAACCCATAGTACTATCTGGCAATGAGCTCAAAAGATGCAATCAAAACAAGACAGAAACTGACAATGGATTAGCAAGTTTCATGTTGGTAAAATTTTCCTGATTCAAAAAGAAGCAGAGAGAACTTTGACTCAACAGTGGGAAAGGCCCAGTTTCTTTCAGAATATAAATCATTTAGATTTTAAATTTTAAAAGCAGGACCATAGACTGTAAGACAGCTTTCAAATTCCAAATTATAATATACATATTTTTCATTTTTATCTTGAAAATTACAACCCTATGCAGATCTATGACCAAAATGCATAGATCTATGCAGATTATGACCAAAATAGAAATTTTACTGAAAGTACAGCCCCCTATATAAAAGAAATGCCATTAAGTTCTATAGGCTTCAGATAAATATACCAGTGACTGCAGTCTCCACAGATGTGCCTCCTTCCATCCTCTCATTCTATATCAGCCTCCCCCAAACAGGTAGTCTTTCACTACATTAGGAGCACACGAGGCCCAGAATTCTCAATCAGAGTGCTATTTGCTGATAATTGGAATCATAATAGAATTGAAGGGCATCAGACAAAGGTGCCCAGGTCAGATACTATATTGCTAGAATAGTGCCATCTGGTGGATATCTTGACAAGCATTCTCAAATTAAAGGTATCTGAAAGCAAGTTTTTTTTGCCCATGGATATTGTGATCTCTCCATATTGGCCATCAAGTTGAAGGAGTGCAAAAATTGTGCCTAGTTTAGGACAATGTGGAAGAGGACACATCTAACTTTTTATTTTAAGTTATTTAATTGCATAACTTAAATAACTTATTCAAGCAACGAATCAGCAAATCTAGAAGCAAACAAAGTAATAACCAAAAGCCAACATAGGTTTGTCAAAAACAGATCATGCCAGACTTATCTTATTGCATTCTTTGACAAAGTGACAAAATTAGTGGACTAGAGGAATACTGTCGATATAATTTACTTGGACTTCAGTAAGGCATTTGACAAAGTAGACCACAACCTACTACTTGATAAAATAGAAACATGTGGGTTAGACAGCATCACCACCAGATTCACAATATTTGGTGGAAAAAAATAAATCAGAAACACCAATACACAGTATGCTGAATTTTCAAAATTCTTTATTCTTGTATTTATCACAGCAAAGAGCAGAGAGTCCTCTGGAAGCACCATCTTGATTTGCATCCAGCACACATTTGCATCTGACTGGTAAGCCTGCTCAGAAAGAAGTGTGAGGAGAGGGTCTCTCATAAACCCTATGAAAGTTATGGCCAACACTTTGTGAAACAGTGGGTTGAACTAAAACAGGATTGGGTAGTTTCTGATAAAGAGCATGTTGCAAAAAGCCAGTATTTGTTTGAGCATGTACCAGACTACCCCCTTAAGCTATGATGGTGCTTTTGTACTTAGAGTAAAACATAGTGTGTGAACATAGCACAACCCCTACCAAGACTGTGTCAAGTAGGACACATGCTCTTTAGTGGCAGATGAAAACTGCTGTAACCCAGATGGGACAGACTCCGCGGGGATGTCAAACTGTCGTCCCATGGGACCAATGTGTCACACATAGGCCATGCCCACCCAGCTCCGTGAAGGGGAAAAACATCATGATACATCCAATGGTGGAATTCAGCCGGTTCTCTCTGGATCGTGCAAACTGGTAGCGGCAACTGCGGGAGGCTCTGCCCACCCACCCGGACATAATGTGTGACTATTGCACACATGAACCGATAGGCAAGGTAAGTAAATCCCACCTCTGGATATGTCACATGATGGCAACGTGATGCCACAAGTTTGACAGCCATGGGATAGAGGCACAAAAGGCATTTGAAAAATAACCAAACAGTGCTGATGTAGAAGTATCGATGCGATATCAAAGCCTGATAATTATGATGCCAACTTTTAATAAAGGATAACAAAGTTGTTATTTAACAAAGGATTTGTTAAAAGTTGTTCACAGTTTTAAGGATTTTTCTCCTTAATTATGTTAAAGGTATTTTCACTTTTTACTTGGCAGACAGTGTTATATTCTTTTGGTGTTCTTTTTTAAGTCTTGGTGTTTTTTTTTAAGTCTTCTTCCACTGTATCCCCCTGAGTCTCCCAGACTCCAAGGAGGTTTTTCAGAGGATTTGGAAAAAGCTATAGCAGTAATTTTCAAAATTGGCAACTTTAAAATGTGTGGACCTCAACTCCCAGAATTCCTCAGCCAGCAGCTTGGAAGTTGAAGTTCACACATCTTAATGCTGCCAAGGTTGAAAACACTGAGCTACATGGTTTATTCAATCAAGATCTTTTGATGAAACAGCCACTCGTGTGTATGTGCATAACTACATGTATTTCACCAATATTCACATTTTTTTTAAAAGCAACAAGAGAGGTATCAGAAGCTGTTGCTGTGCTGCACAAGCAAGATTTTGTTCCTACTGCAGAGTTTCAAATGTTGGCATTACTCAGATTTATAATTAGCAGGCGAAACCTCGAGCAGCAGCTGCAGATAGCAAGTGATTTTATCAAGCCACTCAAAGTGTATTCGAAAATGTATAAAGGGTAGGTATAAAAGAAAACCACTAACCATGAAAAGGAAAGCATATAAATACTGCATTTTCGGGGACAAAATTATAGGAACCAAAACTAAGAACAAGGAAACGGCCACCATTCCAAAGGCAACTGGTAAACAAACCTGTAAAATATAAACATAGAGTTAAGACAATAGGTGTTAAATAGATGAACAAGCAAGAAATGCAAAAACCCATACATTTCATACATGAACACAAATCAACTTTAGGCACAATCTTGCCAGAGCTGCATTAGACAACCATTTCTTATGGATTTTCCGAGTACATACAATCAGTTTATGGTCACTAGGAGAACCATAAATAACTCTGGAGACACTTTCTTTAAATGTGAGGCTTAAGTAATCATCTTACAATAATTTGCCTGAATTCATTCAATCTTGCATATGGCCATTATACCGAGCTATTAAGCTATTTTTTTAAAAAAGGTGAATTTCATGAATGCAAAATCAGCACTGCCTGTGATGTTTTTTCTTCCACATTCTCTACCATCCAAACAGAATTTACTCCTTGTACAAACCCAGCAGAGCAAGGTTGGATGTGGTTCTCAGAATCAGGGAATGGAAAATTTTGAGAACCTGGGGACTTGTAATTGCCAATCAGAAGAAATACTGCTGGGATTAGATTGTTGTGTGATCTGATTCAGTATAAAGCAACTTCCTTTGTTTATCTATTCCACTGGTAAAATTGGCACTGGGATTGCTTAGGGTGACCAACTGACCCTTCAAAAATTACCAGACCCAAACATTACATACAGCAGGATGCAAGTTAAAAATTTAGTTAAACATTTCCAGTCCTTTCTATGTACCTTGTATGGCCTGAGTAGATCAGGCTCTCGATATCGGAGGACAATGACACTAGTGGATGTTAGTCCAGTCATAAGCCAAATGGAGAATCCAAAATAATTCATTAAAGCAATTAGATCAGATGAAATGAGGAAAGCAGTTGCAATAACGGTGGACAAAATCATGGCTGGTGCTGGAGTAGAACGGTGGATATTAAGCATGGATACTATAATGGGCAACTGTCCAGACTGACTCGCGGCATAGCTCAACCGCCCAAGAGTGAATACACTGCCGTTGAGGGCACCGAATATAGAAATAGCCACAGATGCAGGAATTATCCAAGCAAATGAAGGGATCACTCTCTCAGCCCACATGACTGCTACAACAACTGAAAAGAAATATCAGCATTGTTAACAGATTATATGTAAAGGCTAAACAGCTTTCCTCAATATATCACACACAGCTTCGTATATTAATGAACCTTAATATGCTTTAGTGAACTTTGAAGAATAAATAAGATTTGGCTCCAGAGTAACGGAAGCAACATTGTTTGGAATTGCAAAGCTGAATAAAGCTCAGTGATCCTTTGCCCTTTCTTAGCTCTAAGAAAGTGATACCTGCAGCAGGTAACCATCATTCGGCAATCTTGCTGGAAGGGAAACCACCAGGTATTCTCATGTCTGGTCATTAGACTTACTTTTTTTTTAAAATCCATTTTAAAAGTCAGCAATGGCAAAGTACTTCCTTAGTGTTATCAACAACAAACAAAAAACTTGTACGCAACTTTGTGTTCACTCAGAATCCTAGGTGGCTTGTGGGAAATTTTCATTACAGAATTTCTGTTTGAGGTTGTCCTGGAGAAAGCATCTGCTAGAATTTTGTATAGTTCAAGTCATGATGGCAATGGAATAGGATGGCAATAAGAATGGTGGAACTGCAAGATGCAGTTGCAAAGATTCAATATATATATTGCAGCAATAATACAAACTAAATGCCTAGAGCTGTTTTGTAAAACCTCCAACTGGACCAATTACACCTTTAATAAAACATAAACATTTTTATACATTATTACTGGCATGAAGTTTGCTGACCACATTACCAATCCCTGTCTTCTGGCGCACTATCAAACATGCACAGGTTTAAGCAAAGCAATTACTTTAATCCTTTGGCTTTGCTGTCCTCCCTCTTCAACATAATTCCAGTCAGTGGGAAAAGCGTCTGTCAATCTCTCTCTCTCTCTCTCTCTCTCTCTCTCTCTCTCACACACACAGACACACACACACACACACATCACAGTAGAAAGGGGGTGTTTCTGGATTAATCTCTAGGCTCGTTCCTGAGCCCTTTTCAATTCCTTCCATAAAATTCCATGTAACAAATCAAGGTAAAAGAAAAACAGTTTGGAATCATTAAGGGAGTCCAAGGGAACATAAGCAGTAGTTCTACATAGAATATATCAGTGATGGCGAACCTTTTCGGCACCGAGTGCCCAAACCGGAACCCACATGCATGCACGTGCATTTGCACGTGCCGAAACCCAAAGACCAGCTGGCCGGCGCATGCATGCCTGTTTTTTGGCCATTTTCAGAATGGTTTTGGGGAGTTTTCAGGCTGTTTTTTGGGCTGTTTTCAGAGCGATTTTTGGATGTTTTCAGGGCATTATGCGGGCGGTTTTCAGGGCGGTTATGGGGTGGTTTTGGCCTGTTTTTCAGGCCCACAAACATTCCTGAAACATCCCAAAAAAGGGCCTGAAAATGGCCTGAAAAACGGCCCCCAAAACGGCCCCAAAAGTGGCCGAAAAACAGTCTGAAAAACAACCTGTTTTTTGGCAGTTTTTCAGGCCGTTTTCTGGTGCTCCGGCACCGTGAAGACCAGCTGACCGGTGTGCACGTGTGCACCGGAAACCAGAATAGCAGCTGGTGATGGCATGCGTGCCCACAGAGAGGGCTCTGCATGCCACCTCTGGCATCCGTGCCGTAGGTTTGCCATCACAGGAATATATCATTCTAGTCATTCCTGTAGATAGATAGATAGATAGATAGATAGATAGATAGATAGATAGATAGACAGACAGACAGACAGACAGACAGACAGACAAATGCCAACTCCCCAGTTCCTCTGTGTTATGTTTGGAAAGCAATAAAGCAGTGTTTCTCAACCTTGGTAACTTGAAGATGGGTGGACTTCAACTCCCAGAATCCCCCAGCCAGCAGCGCTGGTTGGGGGATTCTGGGAGTTGAAGTCCACCCATCTTCAAGCTATCAAGGTTGAGAAACACTGCAATAAAGGAATGAAGTCTTGTCATTTCAACATTTAGTTGTTTGAACCATACAATGGAGAAATGAAAGCAATCAAATCATTTGCAACACTGTTGGCTGAATAGTTTAGTGCTACAGTGCAATTCTGAAAGACCACCATTTAAATTTACCACCCATCATTTAACCAAGGATGCAAAATGGTGACAACCAAATACCTTCATTTGCAGAGAGATGTGTGCCTACATAAAGCATTTACAACCAGCTGAAGCAGGATTGGCAATACAAAAGGAACCCCAGTGCTAAAAACATCCCTCTTCCTTTCTTGTTGAAATCTCAAGGGGCCTCCAGTACAAAGCCTATTCTACACAACACAGCTCTGCAGGAAGATACTAGTAGAATGGTGGCAGGCCAGCCTGACTGAGACTGTAGGAGGAAGGGGGAGGAGGCATGTCCCCATAAACCTGAAAGCACTTAATAAGCATCCTTATGCTTTCACCAACAACTGGTCACCTTATTTTACCTCCATTGGAGTGGATGGACAGCTTTGCAACAACTGTTGTTGCACTGTGTTGTTAAGCCAAGAACAATTTAAACTGGTCTTGGGGATTGGAGTTGCACTGAAAGTGGTATCCTACAGAGGCAGTCAGAATATTTGTGCCGCAATTAATTGCAAGTGGATAGATTGCCTGTGATTCATCTGAGTTTATCTAGTGAATTCTTTGTTATATCGATTATAGGTGATACAATTACCCTTTGTGAATGAAAACTACAGACTCCCCAGTCGTACCTGAGGAAACAATTTCCTGTGGTGTGAGAACTGTCAGATATGAAATGTTAACCAGCAAATAGAAAATAGTGACTAAAGGAAGTGCAGTCAACACAGTCCAAAGAATGTTTCTGCTTGGATTTTTAATCTCCTCTGTAAGACATAAAATAGAAATTACTCAAACGTATCTATTCATACAGCAAGAAAACATACAATCCCAAGTATTTATGAAAAACATTATTTTTTCTGTAATTTTTCTCAAACAAAAAAGGTTTCCTGCTTTTCCCATTTCCATTCGTCAGGTTCTTAAAAGCAATTTGGAAACAATCCAGAAACATTTTCAGATTCATGGACTCTGAAATGCTGCATATACAAAGCAGTGATCAGTGCCCTTGAATCAGGGGTGAAATCCAGCAGGTTCTGACAGGTTCTGGAGAACCGGTAGCAGAAATTTTGAGCAGTTTGGAGAACCGGTAGCGGAAATTTTGAGCAGTTCAGAGAACCGGCAAATACTGGCCAGTTGTGGCTGGCACCAGAGTGGGGTAGGGATGGAGTTTTTGCAATATCCTTCCCCCAGGAGTGGGGAGGGAATGGGGATTTTGCAGTATCCTTCCCCTGAAGTGGGGTGGGAATAGAGATTTTGCAGTATCCTTCCCTTGCCACGCCCACCAAGCCACAGAATCGGTAGTAAAAAAAAAATTGGATTTCACCACTGCCCTGAATTTACTACTTTTAGTCATCACCATTTTTGTTGTAATGCTTTAAATTTGATTTCAAAGCAAACATCATCATTAATAATTTATCACTGCTGTGTCCTGAACAGTGGTACAGGAAATACATGAACACATTTAAAAATGTAAATGGTTGCTCATGCAAAGCATTTCTATTCTATTATTGATTTATTAGACTTTTTGGCTAGCTCTACCTACTCAACTCAAAGCAGCCAATAAAAGTCAAAATACAAACCACAACACCCAAGAAAAAAAATAACAAAAAAAATCACGATGAAAGCTAACAGAAGAGCCTATGTTCTGAGATGCAGCCGTTGTATTTTACAAAACTAATCTGCATCTTATGATGTTAGCAGGGATATCTACTTGTTGAGTTATTCTTAAGGAGATTGACCCCTGCCAGAAAAGAACTACAAGATCTAATCTCCCCTGAAGACCTCCAGAAATTACAAAGAGCAAATTTCAGTTCCTGTCATGTTTACATTCCATGAGTTTCTTCAGCCTTCTTAGCAACACCTGTAATCAGGTGCAAATCTTAGGATGAGGTTCACATCTCTTGGAATCCTTAACCTGTTTTTCATACAGAAATACCTTTCCAGTTATCAGGCTTCAGAAATTTTCTCAAAAAGGCACGGACTCCAAAATCCAGTCTCTTAGCATCTGACACTGTCATAAGGTTACATAGGTCTGGAATTTTGAGAATGCATTGATGGAGCATGCTCATTTATAATAATATGTCACCTTAGAAGGATACAGCAGGGATGGGATCCTACCGGTTTAGCAACTGGTTCACTGAGCGTGAACTTTGCGCCCATGCACACATGTGCGCAATTTGCAGAAAACTGAACTGAGAGCAAGGAAAAACAGCTGGGAGTTGGCAATCCACTCTGCCGCCCCAATCAGCTGGGCTTTGGAAGCAGAAATATAGGTAAGTATAACACAGGGACGGCGGGTGGGGGGGCACTTGAAAGAAACAGAGAACTGGTTCGCTCACGGCTGAAAATCGGAGCTAACGGTTTGTACGAACCGGTCTGAACCGGTAGAGTCCCACCACTGGGATACAGGTAGCTATATAGCACTGATTTCCTCCAGTGCTATCATCCTCTCTAGGAAGGTGTTCCTTACCACCTATTTTATCTTTGTCTTTTTTTAGGCAGATGTGTACATTTCCAGTCAAAGCACTGTCATACAAACTATATACTACAATCACTCTTAGAAATAAAGATGAAGCTGGAAGTTGTTTCTTCCCAAAGATGGATTTTTCCCAATTCATTTACAAAAAGAATGTAACGAGGCCATGATTAATAAGAATTGGTCTATTTTAGTCTCACAGAACTGTGTGAAAATAAACTGCTTATTTCATTATGGTCAGATAAAGAGGGCAGTATTCTAAATGGATTTCAGTTAAATGGGAGAATGGATTCCGTCAGAGAGTTGAATGGAGTAAACAACAAACATGTCCTTTTTTTAAATGGCGAGGGTTGAGGAAGGTGCATAACGAAGGCACAGCAAGTGTCAGGAAGGGCGCACGAGGGAGGCAAAATGAGTTCAGGGTGGGTGGCATGGGATGAGCATAAAGTGGCTGAGGGAGGGTATAAGAGTGGAGGGGTCTTAGCTCAGCACAGGGGTGAAATGCTCTGAAGTCTGCTACTGGTTCGCTTCGAGCGCGCATGTGCGCCAAACTCACGCTTTGTGCTCATGCACACCACAGGTGCTAAGAAGCTTTTTCTGAGTCTGCAAAGGTAAATAGAAGAGCGGGGGGAGGTGACAGCTGTGCCACGTGATTTAGATTTGCTAGAAAGCAGGATTTCCTGCTTTCCAACAAATATAAATCACGCGGCACAGCTGATTGTCACACAGCTGATCTTCGGAACTTTTAAAAAACTTTTAAAAGCATTTTTTTACTACCGGTTCCAGAGACCCGGTAGTAAAAAAAATGCTTAAAAAGTTTTTTAAAAAAGTTCTGAAGATCAGCTATGCGACGTGTGATCGTTGGAACTTTTTGTTTTTTAACTTTTTAAAGCATTTAAAAAGTTCACCCCTGGGGTAGCATTTCACCCCTGCCTCATCAACTTGCAACCTTCCCCTGCCGGCTTGTCAGTTGACTTACTGGAGAAGTTGGCAGGGAAGTTCTCAAATGACAATTATGGGACTGTGGGGTTTGCAACCATCATAAATAGGATCTGTCCTATTTAGGATCTGTCAAGTGCCCAGATCATAATCACATAACTGCGGGAATGTTAGAACAGCCAGAACTGCAAGGATCAGCCATAACTACAATTTGTTCAGCATAATTTCAAATGGTTTTTGAATAAAGAGTGATAAGTCAAGAGCTAGCTGTAGTCAAGATTTAGTTGACAGCACAGCAAGCGATTTGGCAAAGAAAATGGAAGACATACCTGCCAAATAGCTGAGTGACCACCAGCCACCGTATGCATACAACCCTTGGAAAAATGCTTCTGAGATCTGCACAACATCTGGAATCTCTGCACTGAAAGCATTTTCGAATCTGGCTGTGTTCTTTTTCTTTCCTCCGATCAACAGAACAATTCCACCGATTGCAACAATGGAGAGAGCCATCATCTTGAGAAAGGTGAAAACGATCTGCACCCAGGCAGCCATCTTGACACTTTGCCCATTGAGAATCCCAAGAAACCAGAGAACAGCCAATCCCAAACATTTCTTTGCCATCTCAGGAGCTGGGCACTCTCCATAAAAAGGTTGAATGGCATATTCGGCAAACAGCAAGGCTCGAGCAGCATTCGAGGCTGGTCTATTAAACATGGCTGTCCATAAAAAGATAAAAGCCACTGGAGAGCCAAGGGCTCTTTTTATGTAGCTGTATTCCCCTCCAGAAAATGGCAGTGCTATGATGAGCTCTGCGTAACAGAGAGCACCCATCAGCGAGATGATGCCACAAGCGGTCCAGATTATTAAAGACACACCAACATTGAGCGAGGAATATTTGAGCACTCCAGTTGGGGAGACAAAAATCCCTGCACCTATAATTGTGCCTACTATGAAGCTAACCCCTTCTAAATAGCCCATTGTCCTTTTAAGCTGGATCTTGTTTTCATTGGTATTTGCGTCATTACCCTGGTTACCTTGGTCTTGCCCCATGGTTTCAGTTTTCTTTTGGTGCTTTTGAGTGAGCACTGAGGGTAACCTGAAGACTGTACCCCCTTCCGTTCTTGAGAGCAAGCAAGTGATTTCAGAACTCTGTCCTTTTAACTTTAAATGGAAAAAGGGACTGATGATTAACCATGTCTTTTCAAAGGACAAAGGTCAAGTTTTGCAAAGAACAATTAACTCAATCTGTGGGTTTTCTGCACAAGAGATATAATCCAGTTCCACTGAGTTTTTGGAGAGTTATCAGCTGGTAGTTAGCAGGCAGACTGATTCCTGGACCTCTGCACATAATTTCTGTCTAATATATCATTGGACAGAATCATTTCTACCATTGGGGAAAAAAGAGAAAGCCCCCCAAATTATGGCTTCTGGAATTCTTTCCAATCCCTATGCTAGCAGCTCCATCGTGTGACTGTGGGTAGCATTCTGAGCCTCAACCCAATTTCTCATAGAAATATACTGGGGTGGGGTGGGGTGGGTTACTCTACAGCATCCAGGACATTTTCTCATTCAATCTTACTTTTTGTGTCTTCTCATTCCACATCAGACTGGATTTCCTTTTATTCTATTTTTGGGCAGACAAACGAACAGAGTCTCAAGCCTCTTTACATAATTTCTTTCCAATGTTCCATTAGATTGCACAGAATAAAAGACTGTCTTTGGAGAGAATGTTAATTTTCCTCCTACATATTTTACTCAAAGTCTGCTACCAAATCTAAGTACCTGGTTAATCGAAATGAAGTGCTGCTCAATGTTCTCCCCAGATTACTCATTAAATGAAGCATACGGCCATAAAACTTTACTGGTTCTTTAATGATTTAGCAAACTGTTACCCTGGACTGAGGCGATGCTACAACGCCTTCACGTATTTGGTTTGTCAAAAAAAAAAAAAAAAAAAAAAGAGTCCAAAGAAAATTTCTACAGGTTTCATCTGCTGGCCTTTAGTCTTTTAAAACTTTTAAAATGAAATTGTTCACCAGACATTTTTACTGTCTTTACTCCCCAATCATATACAAGACATCCTTGCTCAATGACCAGTGTCTAGAGTTACAATGGCACTAAACAAGGAGACAGGTAGGCAGTCCTCAGAGCTGTGGCCATCACAGCATCCCTGCAGTTGCAATTCGGGCACAATGATGGCAGCAACTTCTTCTAGTCACATGATCACTATTTGAAGCCTTCACTGCCAGCTTCTAACAAGCAAATTAAATGGAGAAGTTGGGAGAAGGTAATAGTCACATGATGTCCTGTTTAACACTTCGGATTTGCTTAACAAATGCACTTGAACTGCCATTGGAAACCAAGTGGATTTTGTTTTTGTTTTTGCTTTGTGACCATGTTGTTTGGCGATGGACTTTCCTGTCCCAATTATGGTAGTTAACTGAGGACTAACTGCCAGTTTGTGTTTACAAGTAGTCCTTGACTGGCAAGTGTTAGTTTAACGATGGTTCAAAGTTACAACAGCCTGGAAACTGACCTACCCTCTGTTCTCAAGGGTATGACCATCACACATCACTTCTGCAGTCACCTCCTTGCAATTTAGGCTTTTGGCAACCAGCTTGCATTTATAACAGTTGCAGTATCTTGCAGCCACATGACTGCAAGTTGCAACCTTCCCAGCTAACAATTAAAGTCAATTGGGGAAGCCAGATTTGCTTAATGACTGTGTGATTCAGTTAATGACTGCAGTGACTTGATTAACATCCATAGAAAAAAATATTGCAAAATTGGATACAGTCATGTGATGACTTACTTCATTGCTTATCAACTAAAAATCTGGCCCCAGTTGTGCCCATACATTGGGAAGTACCTGTATATGGCGGCGCATGTATATGCAGCGGCTCAACACTCCAGAGACTGGTATTTTTTAATTGTAGTGGATGGGAGTGTGTTTGGGGATTGTTATGTGTGTTGGACCTGGTCTTTTTGTGTTAAGTGAATCTCGTTGTATGGGTATACTGTGTATACACATACAACGACAATAAAGTTATTTATTATTATTTATTTATTTATATCAAAGCTAAGTTTCCTTTAACTTAATAGTAAGTATGAATCTTATAACTATTACCTAACACAAAGCCCTATTACAATATTTCTGAGTGCATGTGTAGCAGTGGTGGTATTTTTTTTACTACTGGTTCTGTGGGCGTGGCTAGGTGGGCGTGGCAGGGGAAGGATACTGAAAAATCTCCATTTCCTCCCAATCATCTGGGACTTGGGAGGCAGAGAATAGATAGGGGAATAGGGGGCGGGGCCAGTCAGAGTTTTTACTACCGGTTCTCCGAACTACTCAAAATTTCCACTACCGGTTCTCCAGAACTGGTCAGAACCTGCTGAAACCCACCTCTGCTCAGGAGGCAGAGAATAGATGGGGGCGGGGCCAGTCAGAGTTTTTACTACCGGTTCTCCGAACTACTCAAAATTTCCACTACGGTTCTCCAGAACTGGTCAGAACCTGCTGAAACCCACCTCTGCTCAGGAGGCAGAGAATAGATGGGGCCGGGGCCAGTCAGAGGTGGTATTTACTGGTTCTCCAAACTACTCAAAATTTCTGCTACCGGTTCTCCAGAACTGGTCAGAACCTGCTGAATACCACCTCTGATGTGTAGAGTTTGTGCTGTATTTTCTCAAACATTACACCATAGGCCAAGCCCATGCACCATAAAATACAATACAAAATGACATTATAGCCAAACTGACAGGTTTAATATTGCAGTCTAAGCCCTACAAACTGTTGGCAGTAGATATTTTTCTATAGAATACACGCCTCTCAACAGTTTAGCATTATTTGGATGCTTTCGAAACAAACACAAGCGATAGGGAAGCAGCTGGGCTGACAGCATTTTTGTTCACCTTTCTGCCTAGATTGATTGTTTTGAGATAACATGGATGGAAAATTTGGATGAAACTTACTAAATACAAAAGCTGTTATTGTAAAAGATAACAGTTGTAGCATAAACAAAGATTTTTGGAGAGACTGCCTTTCTTTATCCTTGGTTTAAGCAATAATAGATCTAAGAATGGCCTTATTTATTATGTACCACAGAGACCTTTGTATCCAGGCATTTCAGAGAATCCACACAATTCCTCAGCCTAGAACAACTTAGACCATATGATGGTGAACCTATGACACATGTCAAAGGTGACATGCCACAATGTTTTGGATGACATGCCAGCAGTGACCAATACCCAACAACTATTCTTAAAAGCATTTATGTATGATATTTGAATGCCATCTGAGAATGTCAGGCTCTCCAGATAGTCTCATCCTCTTGTGTGGCTTCTGGGCCCTCCAAAAATGGTTCGAGAATGGAGCCTGCTTTCGCATGGCTGCAGATGCCACAGAAGAGCATTCTTCAAAGTCGTTTGAGGAAACCAAGACCACCAGAGCTGCCTCAGGTGGGTCTCAGGGGCCTGTCAAAGGAACGAAAGCTCCACCTGAAGGCAAGCACTTTGTAGCATATTCTGGGGATCACACAGGTGATTGGACTGTATTTTGTTTAAATAAACAAATACGTAAAGAATTGTTTGTCTTCTGTTCAGGTGTGGAGTGACATGCCAACAGAGTCAAGTTAGGCATTTTTCAAATTTTTGACACACCAAGCCCAAAAGGTTTGCCATCGCTGACTTAGACCAAATCAAGGTACAGATAGTCATTGACTCACGACCACAATTGAGCCCAAAATTTATGTTGCTAAGTGAGAAATTTGTTAAGTGAATTTTGCTCCATTTTATGACTTTTCTTGCCACATTTGTTAAGTGAATCACTGCAGTTGTTAAATTAGTAAAACAGTTGTTAAGTGAATCTGGCCTCCACATTGACTTTGCTTGTCAGGTGGTTGCAAAATATGATCCCATGAGCCCAGGACATGACAACTATCATCAATATTAACTAGTTGTCAAGTATCCAAATGTAAATCACGTGACCATGGGGATGCTGCAATGGTTATAAGCAGGGGTGGGTTCTAAATTTTTTTACTACCGGTTCTGTGGGTGTGGCTTATTTTGTGGGCGTGGCTTGATGGCCATGTGACAATTCTTTAGGATTTAGCAGAGGTACTGGTCTACCAGGCTTTAAACTGCTTGCAGAGCTGTACCGGTCTACTCATTTATTTTTGCAGGCACTGGTCTACTCATATATTTTTGCAGGCACTGGTCTACCCATTTATTTTTGCAGGCACTGAACTACCACCAAACTGCCTTTTACCACTGATCAGCTGTAGGGCGGCCCTTTGAAGCCCCGCAGCAAGAGTTTAAACAGTTTTTTTCCTTATAGCCCATCAGCTGGGATTCAGGAGGCAGCAATAGATTGGGGGTGGAGCCAAATAAAAGGTAAGAATAACACGGGGGTGGGGTGGGGGCTGGAGTGGGAGGGGGCAGAATCGGTTTGGTAATGTCATATCATCACCGCTACCGGCTCGGCGGAACCGGGCAGAACCGGGAGGAACCCACAACTGGTTATAAGTGTGAAATATGGCCATAAGTCACCTATCAGTGTTGTTTGAACAGTCTTTGAACTAACCAAAAGAGGAAAACAAAAAGTAGCTAGCAGATCACTTCACAATTATTTCAATTATTTTCATTGTTCCTTCTAGCAAAAGTCTCAATCTCTGTCCTGTTTTTTTGTGGTAAGTCAGAAGATGGGATACTTTCCCTAAACAGTCACTAAATCAGGGGTCGGCAACCTTAAACACTCAAAGAGCCACAAAGGCCCTAAGTGGAAGCCCTCCGTTCAATTCTGGAGCCAACCGGAAGTCTGGTTCCCCCCACCATAGTGTCTCCTCCTACCACAGCATCCTTTTTCCTCTGCCTATCCTAACTGAAAGCCCTATCAATTGTGGAGCTGACTGGCGACAGGGAGCCGCAGCAGAGGGATGAAAGAGCCATATGCGGCTCCAGAGCCGCAGGTTGCTGACCCTTGCACTAAGTGAACTGTTGTAAGTTGAGGACTACCTGTATTCACAAATACAAAGAAAACACAAGAATGGAAAGAGTTATGCTTCCCTTTTCCATTTGAAATAAGTTCCATCATTAGGACTGGAATCTGGAGCCATGTAGATAGGGGACTCCAAATAAAGAAGAGCCGAAGGGAGTGTGTTGTAGCAGCCAATGGGTCAGGCAGGTTAAATATCAACACAATGTAAATTGTTGCATCTGCCAATTATCTTTATTTGCCCCAATGCATCTGTACCTTGGGCAGACACTAGAAGGATTTAAAGACAAGTTGCCTTGTTAGGTTCTGCATCAGTGGTGGGTTCCTCCCGGTTCGGTCCGGTTTGACGATATGACGTCACCGAACCGGTTCTCCCCCCGCCCTTCCACCCTCCCACCCACGTTATTCTTACTTTTATTTGGTCC